ATTATTTCTAACCACAAGAGTTATTACCAAGATTATTTAATTTTGTGAGTGGGATTAGGACATTTTCAGTTCCAAAGATTTCTGTATCTAGTGAGTTCATATAGGTTTTGTTGAGGAAATTGACCTCTGAGTTTAATTTCCTACAGGAAATTAGTTATACTGGCTTAATATAAAAAAGGAACAAAATCTTTGAAGTATCACCCTGAAAAACAGCTGTTACGGAGAAAGAATCTTAACTAAATATGAAATTTCATATGAATGTTCTGACTGAGAGACCTTTTGATATGCTTCTGTGATTTTCTTTTTAAGCAACATAAAAAGTTTTTCTAACACATAATAGAAATAGGATGTGAACCGATTATTACAATGTTTATTTTTGAACATTATTGTGATGTTGCTCAGCATTGTTTTTATATGTGCTATTCCTGTATTACTTTTGAAAGTGTCTGAGGTCTCCTGTACTAGCTACAAGAAGGGTACTAGATGCATACTCTTCTAGGCAAGGTATGGAAATTACCATATTTATACCATTTTCTTCTTGCCATTCTCTTCCCTTTCATCTAAGATTGGATAAATGAATAGCACAGCTGATGTTATGCTCTGTTCTTTTACTTTTTTAGGCTGTTTAATCCAGTTCAGTTCTGTTGAGTTCAGATCAGTTCTGTTCCACAAACTTATTAAAGCACTGTACTATATAAATACATTTAGATAAACTCATATCCTGCCCTCTTGAAACTCCTATGGTCTATTTCAACCAACTTATGGTAAAAGAACCTCCATTCTTCTGTGAAAGCTGGTTGGCATGTTATCATGTTTTTTCCTATCACAGCATCTTTCCAATATTATCATGTCCCAGGTGAGAGTATAGATTGGCATAATGTTGAGGTTATCAACATTTTCCAGTTTTTAATCATTATTCTCCTTTGATAAGTGTTTGGAATGGTGATGGGGAAAGCTGTTGACTCTAAGGAGCAAAGGTGTGAGAAAAGGGAGAATCTTCCTCAGCTAACTCTCAAAAGGTGGAATGGTAGGGGACACTGGCTTTCACAAGTGAAAGATGGACTCTTATTTTTCACAAATTGTATGAAGGTGGAGATAGCTAGCATACACTAGAAAGAGTGAATTAATGGATGAAAAAAATTTATTCAGTGCTTCCTATGTGCTGAGCACTCTGTAAAGTACTGGGTCAGGGGGGAGGGGAGAGAAGAGTCACAGATACAAAAGCAAAAATAGTTCCTATCCTTAAGGAGCTTGCATTATAATGGAGGAATACCATGTACAAAGAGGAATGCTAGCCAAGTAGGGACACTTTGGATTGGAAAATTATAGGGGTGGTAAATGGAGCCATTAGGAAAGTGATTAACACATCCCTTTCAAAAATAATGGTAGAGTTGATTTGATAGTGAACCAGGTGAGGCAGCCACCAAACAGAATAGCCAGTCCTCTGGACAGGGGTGCCAGAGATGAAAGGATTTAAACCGTTAGGGCGGTATCTGTGGTCTAAGAAACAAGGCAGGTGGCAAGGCTATTGGGAAAATGGCCCAAGATTAGACCTACAAATGTTTGTTGTTATATAATAGGAAAACATCATAGGTAAGATTCAGAACTTTGAAATTCTACTCTCTAGCCTTTTATGTGTCTGTATCTACTCCGTTACAAGCTTAATCCATTATTCACCTTTTTCATGACTCCTCCTATCCTTCTAGTCCATTTCTTCCACTCTGGTTTTAGTTGCCTCTGTACCCATTTTTAAACCCTGAAAGTTGGATAGCACACCTTCTTTGTGTACAGAGGCCATAGGTTGTCAACCCCTGCCTTGGTACCATCTGTGTACCTCTCAGAGCTATACCCAGGCACAGTGGGAGTACAGGCAAGGAAAAACAATGAGCTATTTGTGGTTAGAGTCAAGGTCAAGAAAACTATCTGGCTTCCTTATCATTTCAATATGGTGTGGAAAAAATTGATCTTAAAATCACAGAATTTCAGAGTTGGAAGAGCTTTCAGTGTCCAGGTAGACCAAACTTGTACCTGAAAAGGAATCTACTACAACATGCCTGACAACTCATCATTCAAACTTTGCTTCAAGATCTCGAATGATGGGGACCCCATGACCTCCCTAGGGAGCACATCTTACTTTTAGATGCCTTGAATTATTTGAAAGTATTTTTTTTTTAAATTTCAGGCATAAATTTGACTCTTTGCAACTTAGATCTCTTACTCCTGATTCTATCACCTGAGGCCAAGCAGAACAAATCTCACCTACTCATTGTGGGTCCACCTCATGTTTTAAAGAGAAAAGAGACTGGAGGCAGGGAGACCAATTAGGAGGCTATTGTAATAGTCCAGGTGACAGGCCATGAAAGACTGAATAAGTATGGTAACCATATGAGTAAAGAGAAGAGGACAGATGTGAGAGATGTGGAGGTAGAATTGATGAGATTTTGCAACTGTCTAAATCCAGTAGGTAAAGGAGAATAAAGAATCAAGGGTCATTCTGAGCTTGTGAATGGGGAATTGGCCATCTGCCTCAACAGAAATAGGGAGGTTCAAAGGGGTGGGTTTTGGGTAAAAAGATAATTTCTGTTTTGAACATGTTAAGTTTGAGACATCTATTAAATATCTAGATAGAAATGCTCAAAACATGGCTGCTTACATAGGGCTGGAACTCAGGAGAGAGAATAGGGCTGGATATATAGATCTGTGAGTTTGTCTGCATAGAGATAATAATTGAATCCATAGGAGCTGATGAGATCACCAAGAGAGAGAATGTAGAGAAAGAAGAGAAGAGGGCCCAGGTCAGAGTCTTGGGACACAACTACCAAGAGGGGGAAAGATGTTGATAACAATTGAGGAATGGAGACGAAGAAAGAGTAGCCATATATGTAGGAGAAGAAGCAGAAGAGAGCAGTGTCCAGAAAACCAAGAGAAGAGATTATCGAGGAAGGGAGAGAGTGATCATCATCATCAGGGGCTGCAGAGAGATCGAGAACAATGAGGAATGAAAATGGACAGTTAGATTTGGCAGTTAAGAGCTCATTGGTAACTTTGGAGAAAGCAGTTTCAGTTGAGTGATGAGGTTGAAAGCTAGATTGCAAGGGATTGAAAAGTAAGTTAGGGAAAAGGTAGAGGCACCAAGAGCAGACAGCTATTACAAGTAGAAGAAACTGGGGAATGGGTGTCAGGACCTCTGTAGCCCCTTTTTTTCTAATAGTCACTGACTTTAGCAAAATGTTTGAAGCCATTTAAAAAAAGTTTTGAAGATTTCAGAAATATTCTGTAAATTTACATTTTTGTTTAGAACTGGATTAGCTGAAACTTCAAACCACTTGTTTTTGGGTGGAGGTGAAGTATGGGGGTGTGTCATCCTCTATGTCTTTAAAACTTGGCTCTTCTTTTTTTTTTTGGTACAGTTTCTCTGGTTCCACTTCTAATATTTCTCACTATTTTGTCTGCCAACTGGTGTCCAGACTCTTGAACAGATTTAACCAATTAGTGAAGCCAATCATCCGGTGTCCTTCATGATCTCTGAGTCTTACAGGCACTCCCACTGAGACTAGGTCTCAGCTGTTGGAGGCTCATGGGTCTCAGTTTTACTTTAAAAGCCAAAAGGGATCAGCCCCCTTCTTATCCTCTTAGTAAAAAACATGGAACTATTTTTAATTGGAAATAATTTTTTAAAAAATCACTCAAAAGTATAATAAAGGGGGGTCCCTATACTGTGAATATTGCTGAGATTTTAGAATTAGATTCAAGAAAGTCTTGGTCTTATATTTCTTTTGCCAAATGAACTCCATTTTTAATTGCTCCAAAATAATAATAGTAATATCATGATCTTATGAAAAGAGTTCTGGACCTGCAGTCAGGAGAAAACTTGGTTTAAATCCCATTTCTGGCATTTACTAGTATCTTTATTGTGTGAGGTGTAAGGTAAAGTGGTCCAGTAGAAAAACCACTATTTGTGGAGTCAGAAGATCTGTGTTCAAATCCCTCTTCTGAAGATTGATATCTAGGTGACCTTGGACAAGTCACTTAACGTCCTTGAACCTCACTAGCTGTGTAACCTTGGGCAAGTCACTTAACCCCAATTGCCTCACTAAAAAAAAATAAAAAAATAAAAATGAGGTTAATGATACTTGTAGTAGATACCTTATGAGATAGTCATGAAGATTAAATGAGAAAATGTATGGAAGCTACATTGCCAGCTATATAAGGTGCTACAAAAGTATAGGTTATTATTATTATTGTTATCATCATCATCATCATCATCAATCACTTTAAGATTTGTGAAAACCTTCCTATACAGTATCATATCTGATTCTCATAACAGCCCTTTGAAACATATACTTCAGGTATTATTATTCCCATTTTACAGATAAGTAAATAGAGATTTTGAGAGGGTAAGTAACTTGGTCATGATCACACAACTAGCAAATTCCCAAAGCAGGATTTGGATATAGGCTTTCTAACTTCAAGCCCAGGACTCTTACTACTATGACATGTTTCCTCTCATAAGCTAGTCTTACGTAGATCATTTTAACATAGCATTTAAAAGACATAATGATATTTGGGTATTTTACAGGTAATAAGAGATAATTTTAGAATTGGACTCAAGCAAATCTAGTTCAACATGTCTTATGCCAAATAGATGTCCAGTTGGCTTTCTCCCTCTGTTTATATCTATGTGATGAATTTAGGTCTGAGCTAATATTCATAAACAGAGCCAAACTTTCTGCAGCATTGGCATGATTGAATGTCCCAAAGAGACATTCCTCTTGAAATGATCAAATCACATTATTTTGTTTTCTACATCCTACTAAATATTATATTTGTGTTGTTTTGAACACTTTCAAAGATTTCTTATAATTATATTGTAATTATATTATGAATTATAATTATCATTTCTTACATAATCTTAGAATAATAATTTTTTTTTTGAGAATTGAACTATTTATTTTTTTCATTGGGAGCCTAATTTTTTTTTCAATCTGTTTTCCTAACAGGAAATTGCACCAGCAGTTTGAAATGTACAAGGAGCAGGTCAAGAAAATGGGGGAAGAATCCCAGCAGCAGCAAGAGCAGAAGGGTGATGCTCCCACTTGTGGCATCTGCCATAAAACAAAGTTTGCCGATGGATGTGGCCATAACTGTTCATATTGCCAAACAAAATTCTGTGCGCGCTGTGGAGGGCGAGTGTCTTTGCGCTCAAACAAGGTATGCGAATGACTTGGGTTAAGCAGGATTGCCAAGTCATTTAAATGATTTGTCTTTAGCATATTTAATCATGGCCAGGTTTACAATAACAAAATGAAATAGATAATTGAGGTCATTATTCAGATCATCCAAGCAAAAAACTCTACTTACATCTTGGTATTTCAGGGAAAAGAAGTTTTCTTCAGTCTGAGTTATCTAGGACTTTATCTCAATTTTCTACTTTACTTTGTATGATGCAGATTTTTTTTCTTTTGTTTCCAATGTAACCCATTAGATAATAGGATCGGGTTCATAAACTAATGGATTTAGAGATGACAGGGACATTAAATATCATCAAGTTCAACTTCCTTCTTTTACTGATGAAGCAATTAAAAGAGAAGTAGCTAGGTGATGTAGATAATTGAGTTCTGGGCCTGCAGTCAGGAAGACCTGAATTCATCTCTGATCTCAGACACTTAACTAGCTATGTGACCTAGACTTGTCATTTAACCTTTACTTAAGTCTTCTCAACTATAAAATGGTGGTATCAGGAGCACCTACCTCACAGGGCTGTTGTGAGGATCATATGAGATAATATTTGTAAAGCACATTGTGCAATGCCTGGCACATAGTAGGTACTTAATAAATACTTGTTACCTTCTATCCTTCCTTATCCAAGGTCACACAGATAGCAAGTGACAAAGCTAAGATTCAAACCTTGTTTATGTCACACTCTAAAACTGAGGAGTAAATAATGGTTAATGCTATTTCTCTTTTTTCCTTGGCCACCTATGTATCTAAAATATATTGAGTTCCCATATTGACAAGTTTAGTTCAAAGGATTATGACCCTAGGGACTTGTAGAAATTTCATAGATCATCTAATCCAAATCCCTCATTTTATAGAGGAAGAAACTGAAGCTTTGACTTTATTCCAGTCTAACACATTAGGTTATCAAATTAGGCAGCTAGGTGGCTCTGTGGATAGAGTGACAGATCTGGAGTCAGGAAGACTCAGCTTCCTCAGACACTTACTGGATGGGTGACCCTGGGAAAGTTATTTAACCTGTTTTCCTCAGTTTCCTTATCTGTAAAAGGAGCCAGAGAAGGAAATGGGAAACTAGCATCTTTGTCAAGAAAACCCCAAATGGGGTCATGACGAGTTGGGCATGACTGAAATGACTGAACAGCAACAACATAAACTCATAGATTTAGAACTGAAAGGGACATTGAAGATCATTAGGTCCAGCACTCTCCTTTTTTATAGATGAGGAAAGTGAAAGAGAGGCAGGTAGGTGGCATAGGTTGTGACTTAAGTAACTTTTCTAAGGTGTCAGATTGGTATTTGAACCCAGGTTCACATCTAGTACCCTTTCCATTATGGCATATTGCTCAAGAAAGTCCCCATAAGTACAGATGATCTTCAAATGTGTTTTGGAAACATTATGTTTATAAATTGGCCAGAAACAGAAAGTTTGCTAGGAAATTAGTTTTAATTCACCAACTTTTAGTTTTAGCATGAGTAATTTCCTCCATAGTTTTTCCTTAAAACCAAACAAAAAGGGACAGCTAGATGGTGTGGTGGATAGAGCACTGGCTCTGGAGTCAGGAGGACCTGAGTTCAAATGCGGCCTCAGACACATGATACTTCACAGCTGTGTGACTCTGGGCAAGTCACTTAACCCTGAATGCCTCGCCAAAAAAAAAAAAAAGACAGGACAAAAACCAAAACCTACTTTTATTCTATTTCTATTTTCACAATAAGTAGGTCAAATTCATGTTGTAGTGATAAGTTAAATATATGTAATATGTTGATTATTAGTTATTGTTAATTCCAATATACTTCAAAGAGGATTTCTCAGTGCACTAGAGGGTTTTCTTTTAAAATAGTCTACAAATATCAGTGTAGCTAGCACTCAGGATTTCCATCTATTGTCCTTCTGTCTTCCTACATGACTACACTATCTCCTTTTCTTGACATTCATGTGTCATTCATATATAGCCACTACATTTCTACTCATAGGGTCATAAAGCTATAGCTGGGAGGGACCTCAGAGGTTATCCAGATGAACACTCTCATTTTGCATATGAGTAAACTGAGGCCCAGTTAGTTTAAATGTTTTCTCAAAATTGCCCAGGTAGCAAATGATGGAGTTGGGATCTGAATGTGGGTCCTAGGACTAGAGGTTCGACTATTCTCTCTCCATTCCATAAGACCGCCTGTCCTTGATGATGACTTTCATCTTGCTTCACATGTACAAATCATTTTTGGTAACATATTATGGATGACTAATCCATTACATGTATTTCCACTGCCCCTTTGGGTGACTTGTGATTTTAATTCTTCTGAGATGGCATTCTATGAGTTGTGGTTGTAGAATATAACTGTTAGAATATTGTTGAAGAGATGAGCTTTTGTAGCATGGAGTAGCTGGCCCTACTTTAGGAGATTGTTCATATTTGCTTAAATATGTAAGCTTGTGCTTATACAAATAGGCTTAGGTAAAGAGATCTACACTGAAATCAACTGTGCTTTATGGTGCTTTAAAATTTTATGGTGGGGCATCTAGGTGGCACAGTGATAGAGCACCGGCCCTGGAGTCAGGAGGACCTGAGTTCAAATTTGGCCTCAGACACTTGACACTTACTAGCTGTTTGATACTGGGCAAGTCACTTAACCCCATTGCCTAGCCAAAAAAAAGAAAAAAAGAAAAAAGAAAAAAAAACACTTAATGGCAGCTGTTATCCTTAGTTACTTTCTCACTGTGTCTTGCCAACCAATTTCATACTTACCTAGATTCTTTGTGGAAAAGCAAATATTTTAACATGTTACTCTGACATAATAGGGCCCATTTGCCATGTCTTCTCATTGTCCCTTTTTTTTCATTTGGTCTGTAACTAATAACTTTCTTTCAATTCCTCTTAATTTTCTTCTCTAGATTCCTACAAACTCCTACCTTGCAATTTCCCTAGGTGTCCCTTTGCAGTCACTTCATATTCTTGTTTCCCCCTTCTTCCTTTTAAACTTTAAACAGGGGTGTGCTAATGAGTGTTTAATAACAGACTCCCTGAAAAAACTGTTTTCATGACATACTTTTAAGCTTAACCTGAATTTTTTTTGGAAGATCAAAGTTTATTTTTTACCACATGCATACAAAAACATATTGCACATCAAACAACCAAAAGAAAAAGAAAAATACTGTACTAAGGACTAATACGTATAGTTTATACATAATATATCTTTTGGAAATTGATCTTTTCAGTGGTTCTATTAACATTTTCAACATCACTTTTTTAAGGCAAGACACCAATAAAACAATAAACCAAGCCCAGATTTGTAGCATTTTCCATTTTCTTTGGTGTGAACGCTCACCTTGAAAATTTAACAATCAACTCTTTCATGTCAGCTTGAGCTAGCTTCAGCACATCCCTGGCTTTAAGTGACAAGAATATTAAGGGAGCTAACATTAGCCCCTCATCCATTTTGATTAAAGAGTGAAAAGGAAGTGATAGAGCTTCTTTCTCCTGGTCAGCTTCAATTAAATAAATTTATCATCATCATCATCATCATCGTCATCATCATCATCATCATCATCATCGTCATCATCATCATCATCATTAATGAAAATGATAGTAGCTAATATGATTTTACATAAATTCATAAATTCAGAAGTAGAAAGGTACCTTAAAGGTTATCTAGTACAATCCTTTTATTTTACCAATGAGGAAACACGACCAAAAAGTTTAATGACCCCTCCAAAGTAAGGCAGGTGAATGTCAGAGCTGGTAATTGAATACAAATTCTCTATTTCCACTGATCAAATCAATCAGCATTTAATAGATTCCTAAAACAAAATGGTTCCTGCTCACAAGGAGCTTACATTCTGTTGAAGGGATCTAACAGTAGCAATAACCACAGAATGGTGTATTCATTGTGTCCCTTTAACCATTCTCAGCTGCCTTATATAATGACAATAGCCTCTTACTTCTAGTAGATATTTAACATTTCTCTTTGTTTCTGTCATATCTCATTATTATCAAATCTAGTGAAATTTGGGCAGAATATTGTTACAAAGATTTTTAAAAAGCAGATTGTTCTTTGTAGTATAAAATTTAATTATACAGTTGTTTTTTTGAGTTAGTTTAGCAATCTGCTGATAAAGTAAGATAAAATAAGCTTTCATTTTAATTTTGTGGTTCTTTCATGTGAATCCATCCCTAAAAAATTAGTCAATTCTCTCTTGGGGACAAATTTAGAATACTGCAAAAAAAGAATAAATGAATTGCGGGGCCAGATGGAGGTAATATGGCACTTAGATTTTTAAAAATATTAATTCATTTTTTTGTCCAAAATGACTTATTCTAAAATTAAGCTTAAATATTTAAGCAAATATAATTAATTATGATAATACTTTGATACTTTGAAGGATCATAGGTTCATATTTTCTGATTTAGAATCACAAAATTATAGATTTAGAGGTGGAAAGGACTTTAGAGGTCATCCACCAATCAAACATTTGTTAAGTGCCTACTGTGTGCTAGACACTGGAGATACAAAAAGAGGCAAAAAACAGTCCTTGCCCTCAAGGAGCTTACAATTTGTTGCTAAGACAACTTGCAAACAAATATATACATACATATATATATATATATATATATATATATATATATATATATATATATATATATATATATATATATAAATAAGCTATATACAGGATAAATAGGAAATAAATAACACAGGGAAGATACTGAGATTACGAGAGGTTGGAGAAGGCTTCCTGTAAGGTGGGATTTTGGTTGGGTCTTAAAAGAAGCCGAGGTGGTTAGTACTTGGAGTGAGCATGAGTGTTCTGGGTAGGTGAGAGAAAATACCTAAGCTAAGAAATGGATTGTCTCGTTCAGGAACAGCCAAGACTCTAGTGTCACTGAATCAAAAAGTATATGTCAGGGAGTAAGGTGTAAGAAGACTGGAAAGGTAGGAGGGGGCTAGGTTGTGAAAGGCTTTGAATGTCAAATGGA